GAGGAGGATGTGATACCCAGCTCCATCCTCATCCCTATGCAGGAACGGGAGAGGCCGGAGCAGGGATTTGCCACTGCACACTGCTCCCAGAGCCGCTCTCAGCCTTTCCTCATTCCTTTCTTTCTGGATTTAAGGCAGCTTCCAAATTCCTGCACAGCCAAATCCCGCCCGGGGCTGCCAGGAAACCTGGCCAGCAACAAGTACGTGCCGTTTCTGTACCCGCAACACAGCCAGGAGTGCTGTTACCCTGTGGGTGACGATGATGGGACGGAGCTCCAGCCCTCCTGAGGATGCGATCCCATCCATTCCCGGCCTGCAGCCGGCTCCCTGCCCTTGGTGCTGCCCCGGGGAGGGTGCTCAGTGCTGTAGCATCACACCCCCCCCCTTCATCATTGCCTTTTATAAGCCATACAAACCCCTCTATCCCCCCTCAGATTCCCTAAACTTCACCCTCCCCATAACCTCCCGCTTTCCCGGCGCATGGAAGCTCATCAGCTCCATCCGGGATTTATGATGCCGGGGACTTCCTGCGCTGCCTTTCAACGCGCTCCCCTCCTTCCCGCCACCCATAAATCAAAGCTGTTTGTTTCGGGTTGCTCCTTCCCTGTGTTTTCATCCCCATCCCTGCCTCCCTCAGTCCCTGAGAGTTTTGTGGGATGCTGGAGGTGCCGGAGCAGCCCCGAGGCCACGGTGAGGGCACCCGTTGGGTCTCCCATGTGCAATGTCCATAGCTTGGATAAAGGGGATGGGGAATGTGTTTGGGAAAATCCTGCATTGCTGGTACAGCCTAAACGCAGCTCCCCGTGTCTAAACACCATTGGGATGCAGCCCCGCACCCAGAGGCCCTCAAGGCTTTGGGGTTTTCCATTGAGTCCATGATCCCAAAGTGATTTTATGGGAATCCTTGGGTCGGGAATCCAAAGGCACGGCGCATGGGGCTGCACATGGAGCATCCTCCTGGCTGTGGCGAGGATGCGGAGCCGGCTCCATCCGAGCCCACCCATGGGAGGCCTGATCCAGTCTTTCCACTGGTGACTCATGGAAAAAGCCTTGTTTTGCAGGGGCCGCTCGGCACCAGGGGCGTTCCTGCCTCCCTCCACTGCTTTTCACCATCTTCGGTATGAAAACATCTGGAATGCCGACCTTCCTGCGGAGCTTGCCTCACCTGAAGGCATCCCCCCCCTTCCCTATCCGTGCGCACACAAACCCTGCTCCGGCCGCTTGGGAAGCAGCCCGGTCGCACTTCCAGGGTTGAATTCTTTGGGAATTACTCTTTCGGATACAGCTCTCATACAATGGGGCAGGGTTTGGAGGGTTTCCACCGCCCCGCGCCAGCTCCTTGCGGGCTGCTTTCGGTACAGCGTGTGCCGGGCTGCATGGGGCCCTCCAAAGCCTCTCTGGAAGGTTTATGGCACAACCTGGAGCGATGGGGCTGGGGATTGAGCCTGGCTTGTTCCAGGTGTCCCTGCTGTTCCCAAGGCCAGGGTGGAGCGGGATCTCACTGGCTTTAGGGAGCAAGAAGGATCCACCTCTAGATTTGGGTTAAAACACTCCAAATGGTGAATGATGCTGATGTGTCACCACAGCACCGTGCTTCATCCCAAATACTTGCTTTTCCCTTCTGTTCCCAGCCGTCCTTCAGAGGGCAGGGATGGAGCAAGGACCATTCCTGGTGGGATCAGCCCATCCCAGCCCTGGGCAGATCTGTGTTTAACTGAATTGGCTTTCCTCTTGGCAAAGGGATAGGATAGGATAGGATAGGATAGGATAGGATAGGATAGGATAGGATAGGATAGGAAGAAATAGCAAGAGGATAGGAGAGGGCTGCTCATTGCTGTGAGCTTTCCCACCTGACTTCTCACACCTTCACACAGCCCTGCCCCTGCTGCTGCTCTCTGGAAAGCCGATTCATGGGGTTTTGGGTTGGGGGGAGGATCTGGTTTAGTTTGGAAGCTGGGATGGAAAACGGTTTCCAACCCCCAAATTAGAAACAGAATGATGCTGAAGGGCCTTGTTTTGGAGGGGGTGGTGTGTGTCATCCCGCAGCAATGAGAAGCACGTGCTGAAGAGGAGCAAAGAGCTATGATTTATTTCCTCTTAATGCTACCCAAAGGACTGGCTCGGCTCCGAGATGCTGCTCTCACTCCCTTGGTACCCATCCATGGGGATGGCTGAGCTGCTGTGGGCAGGGGACACCCATGGGATGATGGGGGGGACAGGACCAGACTGTGTCACCCAATTTAGTTGTTTTTGTGGGGAAAAGGGGATTGTTCTGTGTGGGGTTTTTTGCCCTGCTCTTCCCAAAGGGGTTTGGATGGAGAGCTGATGTGAAGTGATGGGATAAGAGCCAATGTTTTGCTGCGATGGTTTGTCAGCGCAGTGGATTACAGTGATTTCGCTGTGGGTTGCTCTATGGTCTCTATCTCCCCCAAACCACCAGGTCCTATGAAAACTGAGCCAGACTCTTGGATAAAGAAGCCCTGCTGGGGCAGTATCTGGTCCTGCCTGCGATGGGCTCATCCCTGCACTCACCAGAGTTGCTAAAACCCCTTTACAAATAACATAGATCCTTAAATGGCAAGGATTTCCCCCATGGTGGCTGTGCAGGGGCTCAAAGACCCAACTTAAAGCTGAATTCCTGCTGCAGAGCAGCCTTCACCCACTCTATTTATTCCTCTTGTTAGGTCTAACATGCACCCAAAAGCTGGGACGCCCCATCTTGCCCTGGGGGTACCCCCTGGGTGGGTTTTGTGGTGCATGGAGCCAGTGGCTGGGATTTAATAAGACACTTATTGTATGTTAAATATCAAGAGCTGATAGGAAACATGTGTCCCCAGGATTAACGGCCCTGCAGAAGATAAAGCAGGGAGTTCAACCTCCAATCAGCACGTTTCAAATAACCCACTGTTGCTGCAGCACAGAATAACCAGGGACAGGAGTGGGATGGGTGAAGGTCAAACCGGTATCACAGGTCACCATGTCCCAGGAACCACGGGATGGGGCTGGTGATGCCTATGGGATGCTGGTTATAGCACAGGAGCAACGTCAGTTCCGTCTTCTCCCATTTCTTCCTCCTCTTCCACCTCTCCCCTTTCTTTTTGCTTTACCCAGGCCCCAATTTCTCCCCCGTTGAGGCAAAAGCCTTGGCTAATTAGCAAAACGTGTCAAAGAGAATGATGAATGGCCCGGGAGGAGGTTTAGCTGCCTTTGTGCCTGACTTCTGCTCTTAAAGGGTTTATTAGAAGATAAGGGAGCTCATGATGGCTGAGCAAAGTATGTGCTATCACAGGCGTTAAAGGGTCGGAAAAGAGGGGGGGATATGGGGTGGATCGGGGTCACCCTCGGAGGGAGAGCGGAGAGAGCTCGTGTTTCTCTGCCTCTGTGCGTGACCATCACCGTGGTGTCTGGCCTTGGCAGGGGGGAAAAAAAGACATGAAAAACCCCCTACGGCTGAATGCCTCCTTTATTCCTGCAGGGGCAGGTAATTCAATCTCATGAGCCAGGTTATGAATGTCTCTGTGTTACGGGGTGGGGGGGTTGTGTTGGTGCACGTGCCGGGGGCGATGCTTTAGGGTGTTCTCTGTGTGGGTGCTCAAGGTTGGTGCTGAGCCTAATGCTGGGGAGAGGCACAGCCAGGGATTGGTGGCAGCAGGGACAGGGGTGCTCAGGACTGGACTCACTCCATGGCCACAGTGCCTTGAGCCCCGTGGGACATCCCTGATGCTGTTCAGTGTGGGCTCAGACTCCCCGTGCTGGTGGCTCCCAGTGCTGGGTGGGCAGCAGAAGCACAGGCAGGAACACCAAAGCATGGTCCTCCCATGCAGCATCTCAGCTGTCCTCATCTTTTATGGGTTCAGGTGTGTTTCAAGCAGTTCCCAAAGTGACCAATTCAGTGAAACTCATACTCCCCAAACCCCAAACCCCTCAAACCCAGCAGCTTTTGCACCATGGGATCACACAAACCAGAGCTGGCAGCGCCACAGCATCCCTGTGCCATGCCAGCATCCCAGTGGGGAAGCAGGGAGAGGGATGAGTGTGGTGGGAGCTGTATCACCAGCACTTGTTTGAAACCATGAGTGATTCCGAACCCCATCAGACACCGATGCAGAGGCCTGAGCCACTCGATGCATGTCAAAGGGGTGGGAAAGGAGCTGCTCCATGAGGTTTTCCTCCAGGAAACAGAGCTCTGGGCTTAATAAGCTATTTGTAAAGCTCGCTGTGGATAAACAAGAGGCCATGTGTGAGGTTGGAGGCGGCCTCGCAGGGCTCCACCACGCGGGCTGGGACCTCAGCACAGAACTATTTGCAAGATAAACAGAGGAAAATGAGTGCTGGATGAGTGCAGGGCCGCTGGCAGCAGCGTGCTGCTCCTTTCGCGGGTATTTTGGGGCAGGAACTTGGTTTTCTGTGTGCTGCGGCTCAAAGATGCTGGGGTTTTGCCTCCAAAGGGAACCTTGTGTGCTTCTGAGTCACAAATAGACCTGAGGAGCGGCTGGGAGAGGTGCAAAGAGGGCTTGCAGGGGAGTTTGAGGGTGCTGGTGCACCTCGGGCTGAGGTGCCAATAGTGGCAATGTTAGGAGCAGAGCTGCCCTGCCTGCTGCTCGTGCCTCCCGTCAGCTCCTCTGTTCCTCCATGCAGGCACATGCAGTGTAATGGTGCCCTGTCCTCTGCCTGGCCTAGGCTGGAGCAGGGGAAATGGGTTGGTGTCCATCCTTCCATTCCCTTCATCTCTCCATCCCTCTGTCCTTCTATCTCTCCATCCTTCTGTTCCTCTATTCCTCCATCCTGTCCATCTCCCCATCCCTCTATCCTTCTACTCCTCTATATATCTCCTCTGTCTCCCTATCCATCCCATCCTTCCATTCCTCTATCTCTCCATTCCCTCCATTTCTCCATCCTATTCCTCCACGCCATCCATCTCTCCATCCCTCTATCCTTCTATTCCTCTAGCTCTCCATCCCCTCTATCTCTCCATCCTGTCCATCCCAACATGCCCTCCATCCCTTCTGGGTCTTCCAGAGCAGCAGGAGGTGATGCTCTGGTCAAGTGGGACAGGATGTATTCCCTGGGGCCTGGTGAGCTCTCACTGCAGCATCCCTGCATCCCGATGGTGATGGCTGAAACGCAGCACCCACATTTGAGGCTGGGGATGGCTGTAGCAGCACAACCCTCTCTGGTGGCCTCTTTGGGAACGCTAAACTGGGCAAACTGGGATGGGGGAAGCTGTCCCTTCTCTTCACACACTTGCAGATCTCCCTTGGACATTGGGTTCAGTGATGATTTCCTTCTCTCCTGGAGACTGCAGCCATGGGGTGATGCCTGACTTGGGGCACCACTGCTGGGACCCGCCTGCAGCTGAGATCTCCCAGTGAAATCTCCTCCTTCTCTTCCCCACCCCCAGCAAATTTAATTAAAAGTCATTCAGATTCCTTTGAAAGAAAATGTCATCCGTCGACACAATTACACTTTAACTAACCAAAGCTGTTACAGTTCCTATATATATTGGAATCAGGCTGTCGTTATTAGTTCTAAGTAAGTAATTTATTCCCATTATTGTGTTCAAATTACAGGATATTACCCCCTGGGGAAATAATCCTGTTATTTGAAATGTAAAAAAGAATTCACATGGACAACAATGGATTCCTGAAGGAACCCAACAACAGTCCCCAATCCGAGTGCGGCATCCCTTGCCTCGCATGGAAAAAGATGAAGTTGCTTTTACAAATGCTCTTTTCTCCTCTCTTTTCCTCCTGCCACCTCAACAGAGGTAAATACGGTTCCTCCTCTTCTAGTGAAGCCTCTGTTTAGTGAGGGAATCCTGGATGTGCAGGAATAAGGGGAAGGGACATGTATATGTATGTACCCCGTTATTGAGGCGATGGGAAGGGAGCGTGGGGATGGTGGGATGCCTGCACATCCCAAGGGGGGTTCTGCTGGAGCTGGGAACCATCGGCTTTCTCTAGCAAAGAGCTGCTGAGGCCCTTCAGAAACACTGTTCCCTTCATCGAGATCCTCCAAATAACAGCTTGTCTCTGCAACACCCAAACATAAGCAACTAATTTGGACCCACCGAAAGGAAAAAGGGGGAGGCCAAAAAAGAGAAGAGAAAGAGGAGGAAGAGGGAGGGGAGGGAAGAAAATCAGATACACTTGTAACCTGATTACAACAGCCAGCTATGTGTGCAAAATCACAATGCAGCTCTATAATTAAATCTCTCTTTCCCCCTCCTGCCGAGCTCTTTCCTCTAACAGGCATGGTACAAAAACAGTCGTTAGGACATCAAATTCCAGCTCTGACAAGAGGGGACCTTTTTTGTCTATAGCTGCTCGCCTCCTCTTTAAGGAAATAATAATTATAAGCCCAGCACTGCTGGCTGACGAGCTTTGTGGGGCAGAAAGGGCTCGTCTTGTCCAAACCGCTCCTTTAGGGCTGTGGAGAGGGAAAACAGGAGGGGAAGTGCTGGGAGCCAGCCATGGACACCCCCTCCTTGTGTTGGGGTTCAGGGCGAGAGGAAACCCTGGGGTCTAACAAGATGCTTGAAGGTTTGGAGCCATGGCTATGTCTTATCTTGCCCCGCTGGTTTAGCATCAGTGGTTTGGTACCCATGAGATTCCCAGGTGGGTGTGATGGTTTGGTGGGTGCATCCTGAGGGATGCGAGGAGCCAGTGGATTCCTGGACATGGGGAAGACTCCTGCCCTAACACTTTCTGAAGGGGCTTGGCTTCTCCTCACGGTGGTCCCAGATCCTGGGCCACAAGGTGATGGAAGGATGCTACGGATACAACCCCCAAAAGGAACATGGAAAGGAGCCCCACGAAGGCAGCCTCCCCCCCCAGCCCTGCCTGTTAATGGCTTTGATTTACTCCACGCTCGTCACAGCTATTCCCATCCCTGTGACACCCAGCACGTGCTTTTGCTGGCAGCTGCAGGCTGATTTCAGCCTCAGGACCCATTTCCTTGCGGGCAGGTTCCTGCTTGCTTCTTCGGCATATTTTTGGGAACAGGTTTTGCATCCCATCTTCTTTTCTGCTTGAGGGAGGGGGGTTTGAGTTTCTTACAGTGACGGCACGTCTGCTGGTGCAATGACTTGCAGCATGGTGGGGAGGTCAAAGGAGAAAGCCTGGCAGCAGGGGACCAAAAATGGGTCCCAGTGTGCAAGCTAACTACCACTGAGAGAGGATTTATCGATTGCACCTCGCTGGCAGGTAGGAGGAAGCAAGACCAAGCGCTGACGCAGGCTTTGCGATGCGACACAGATTCAGATGCCGTTCCAATGAAGCTGTGGATGTTTGGGTTTAATGGCAATTAACAGCTGTTAAAAGGCAAAAAGATCTATCCTAATAACACCTCCTGCTCCTGGTGCCTTTCATGAAGGGATTCGAAGATACGGTTGTGAGTGTTGATTTTAAGCCACGATAATGTACCCCGGGGAGGTGGATGGGTTTACCTTGTTTTCAGGAGGGGAAGCTGCAGCAGGCCAGGGCATGATGTGGGGACGAGCATTTAACACCTGGCTCTGGAAGAGGGACAGGGCTGAACAGGGACCAGCCAGCAACATGGGTGCAGTTTTCACCAGCATTTTCCCATGTCTTTTATTTAGGGGGTGGGGGGGAGATTAAATCAGTGCAAAACCAGAAGCACTCACAAGTTTAACCTTCAGCAGGACCCTCATGCTAGGGGGGGGCACGTAGGAAATCGTCTCCCTGAGAGATGCAGCAAATCTGGATTTTCCAGTTCCTGGAGGGCTCTGCTTGTTGAAATGAGAAGCAGATAGGAGAGGTGAATTTTAAGAAGGACAGAGCAAAGGCACACAAGTCTGCAGTTAAGTTCTAAACTTCTTTCTCTGGATCTCCTGCTGAGTAAATGCTTTAGGAGCTTCAAACCACAGCCTTTAATATCTCCTTAACATGCCCCGCGATTCCTTCTCCCCCCCTGTCACAACAGCAAAGAGCAGCTGGGAATATTTTCCATTTCCAAATGCTTTGTATGCATACGAAAGTACCTGCAGCTCCTGTGGGCCGGGCTACGGGAGGAACGCTGAAGCCAAGGGTATCTATTTGATATCAAACCTCAAAATAGCACATGTGTCCTGCATCCAGGAGGGTGTTTTGGATTTAACTGACAGATCAAGGGATAAAGCCCCAGTTTACTCCGTTGATGTAGAAGATCTTGCCCTTTGGAGCTCAGCATTCCCGTTTGCTTGGATGGAGGCATGTTTTAAACTCACATACCTGTAAGGCTGGGGTGTTAGATGGGGGTTGTGGATTTGGGGAGGGTTTCCCAGGCACGTTTCTCCACCAAAACACGTTTTTTCCTGCTGAAAGGTGTAACTGCCATTTCCGTGCCTTCCAACCAATTTAGCAGCAGATCTGTAGCCAAAAAACGCAGGCAGTAATTACAGCTTTGGGAGTCGCGCTCCTCTCAAAGCTCTCCATGGGCTGTACATGTCAGCCCTCCTCCCTGCCTATTCCCCCCCCCCCCGGACCGATCTTGGGTGAAAAAGGCTTATTATTGGGTAAAAGGGAAAAGCAAATAAAAGCACCCTGGTCTATCAAAGATCCGGTCTATCTGTGATAAAAGCCGGTACCAGGGGGCTGTGAAAGCACTGGGCACCCAGCACAGGTCCAGGTCCTGACACTGGTGGGGTCCTAGGTTTGGATGTGGGGGGATATGCAGGTGGCAAAGTGAGAAAGCGGGGTGGTTTTGTGGATAAACACCCACCCGCTCATGCCAGGCAAGGAAGAAACCATCAGGCTTTATTTGGACTTGAAAACCGGCTGTGGTTTGGGAGATGGTTGGCTTTATAAACCTGCTGCAGGGTCGGAACTGCTGTGATGGGAAGGGGGGGCACCAACCATGTCCTCCTCCTCATCCCTTCTCCCACACTGGCAGGGCACTGGGATGCTGCATCCATGGGATGTGGGGATGCTGCATCCATGGGATGTGAGGATGCTGCAGGCTCCTGGGTGCTGGGTACAGCCCCGGGGGGGGGGGGCGTTTCTTGGGCTCCCCCCACCGCCCCATGCAATGCAAAGCCCGCAGTCAGGCTGAGCACAGGACTTATAATCAGCCAGGATTTATGGAGAAAAGTGAAATCCCGAGCTGTTCTGGTCATTAATCAGGAATTCTTCCCTTGGTTCCCAAGCTGTTTCCCTAGGGGGATCTCCTCATCGGGACCCCCCACCCTGCAGCCCCCTCCCTACGATGTGCAAGGGGTTGGGGTGGGAATCTGAATTAATCACCCCCCCCCCATCGATGAATAAATCCCATGGGATTCATCGGAATAAACCCCAGCAGGGCCCCCCTAGCTTTCAAATCCCACTTCTCCCCCTGCAGGGGTTTATTGGGGGGACGCACACACACAACACCCTGCTGTCAGACTCAGCGCTGCTTTTAAGGTTGGGGGGGGGGGGGGGGAGGCATGAAATCAGGGCAAGGCTTTGCCGATGCGTTGGGCTCGCCGCCGACCGTGTTTTAACGTGATTTATGGCTGGATTTCTAAATCCAGCCACTGACTCCATGCTTTAAATATAGCTCCAAACCCACCCTGGAAACGTGTAGTAAGCACGTTAAAAACGCCGGGAGAAAGGGATGCGCAGCCGAGCTAAGGATGGAGGGGGGTGGTTTTTTGGAGGGGGGGGTGTCCTCCCTGCTCCAAACCCATAGCAATGAGTAGGTGAGTGTGTGTGTCCCCCCCCCAAGCTGTGGCAGCCCCACAAATAGGGGGATCAGTTTTGTCTCACATGTTTCTAGACAGCCCCCCCCCCCATCCTACCTGCATCCCTGGAGGGGGCAACGACACACTGGGCATTGTGGGGCTGGGGGCTGCGAGCTCTGTGCTGCTCCAAGTGTGGCTGGGCTGAAAAGAGGAATAAATAAGGAAAAAAGAGGGGGAAAATAAAAAAAGGGGGGAAAAAAACGGGCGGGGGGGGGGGGGGGAAATAAGAGGGGAAAAGCAAAAAGAAATTTAAGAAGGGGAAAAAAGAAAAAATAAAAAGGAAAAAAAACCAACACCCCCCAAAAATTTAAAAATATTAAAAATAGAAAAAAGGAGGGGGGGGGAGAGAAAAAGTGGGAGGAAAAAGGGCGGTGGTAACGGAAAAATGGGAGAAAAAGGGTGAAAAAAAAGGAAAATAAACAAAAATAAGGGAAAAGAACACAAGGGGAGGGATGGAGGGAGAGGAGCTGGGTGCAGGACCAGGACGGGGGTTATCACCCCCGGGGGGCGGGTGGCACCGTGGGAACCTGTCGGGACCCTGGGGCACTGGCACCGGGGGGGGGGACCAGACACACACACGGAACCCACCCCCCCCGGCAATGATTCTTGACCCAAAATAGGTATTTTGGGACATAAACAGTGTTTGCGGTAAAGCTTTAGAGGGAAAAGTATGAGAGCGGCGGCTGCCCCCCCCAACTTCCCCTCGGGAGCTGCCGTGTCCCCCCTTTGCGAGACCCCCCCTTTTCGAGGGGCAATGCGAGGGGGGGGACACAAACACATTGATACCGTCTTGGTGGAAATAAAGGTGGGAAAAGAGGGGGGAATGGTGGGAAACGGTGGGAAAATGGTGCCCCCCCCTCCCCCTCAGTGTAGCCACAGCACAGCGGGAGAAACCATAGTAATAATGATAATAGCGATAAAATATGTGTGTATATATATAGGTATTGGGGGGGGTATTTTGAAGGAGAAGGGGGGGTCACTGCTTTGTAGCAACCCCAGCCCGGAGCTGCTGCTACAAGATGGCTCCCGGCCGGAGGAAGAGGAGGAGAAGGAGGAGGAGGAAGGACCGGAGCCATAGGGGGGGGGGCAAGGTTTTTATTAGCATGTCCCTGATTTATGGCATGCCAGCCCCCCCTTCCCCGTTCAGGGGACAGCAGCGGGGAGGTCCGGGCGTTAAGGCATGGGACATGTATAAAATACGCCTTTAAAGCCACATAAAAGCGATCGAGCCATTAATATAGGTATTTTTTTGCCTCTTAGTTCCTCACTTTTTGGGTTATTAAACAGAAAATGGGGGGGGGGAAGCAGCACTCCCCTCCTTGAAACATCGGGGTTTGAGGCTTCGCTTCTGACGCAGCCGGGTTTTGCTCTTCGATATAAATAAAAACATGTATATATATATAAAAAATATATATATATATATAGGCGTTAAAACAGCGCCTTTCGGAGCGTGAGAGCTTTGCGAGGAAGGCGATGCCGCTTCTTCAAGCGATTAAAAAGCAGCAGGAAGAGGGGAACCGTTCCAGGCTCCGTTTTGGGGCCGTTCCGGGACCCGTTTCTGCCCCGTTTGTGCCGTTCGCCTCCAAACTCCCCCTTCCGGACGTGTAAGGGGGGGGGCTTTATTGGTATTAATTTATCCGGGGATTAAATTCATGTTTCCCTCTCCCTTTTTCGTTATAAAAGCCGAGTTTTAACTAAATAAAGAGTGGGTTTGGAAGCTCAATGGCAGGGGGGGGTCGTTGGGAATGATGAGGTGTTCGCCCCCCCCCCCGATGCACAGGGCAGCGTGGAGAAGTTAAAAACCCATTAAAGAAAGAAGAAAGAGAAGGAAAGAAAAGTAAAAGTTGGGCTGGACACTGGGAAGGCAGAGCCAAGGCCGCGTCCCGTCCCCCCGTCCCCCCCGCTCTCTTTTGGCGGGCAGCTCCGCTTCTCCCGCCCGTTTCTAACGCTAAACGCAGCTGGAAAAAGCGGAGTTTTGGTTAAATCGGAGGGGGGAGGGTGTTGTCTCCTCCCCAAACCTTCCTTTTCACCCTATTTTTACATTTTTTATGGGGCGGGGCCCGCAGGGAGGGATCAATCTTCCCCCCCCCCCCCCTTTTTCGGCCTCTCCCCTTCTCCCCCTCAAAGGCCGCTTTGTCCGCGGCGGGGCCGTGGGAGAGGGCCCGGCGGCGCTTCCCCCTCAGCCTCATCCCGGGGGGCCCTCACGTCCCGGCCGTGGCAAAGGGAGAAAGGGGGGGTAAAAGATTGATTTAAACCCCGCGGATAATAAAGGGTAGAAGGGGTCGCGTCGGTTCCCCCCCCCCCGTCACACCTCAGAGTGGTGCAAGAAGTAGGGGGGGCCCCGACCCCATCCCGCTTCCCCTTCCAACCGCCGCCAGCTCCGAGCGGGAGACTAAGGCGAAAAGAAGGAGGGAGGGAGAGGGATGGGGAGCCTGGAAACGGGCGGCGGGAGCGCCTCAGCGTGAGGGGGAGCGGGGGGCCTGGAAACGGCCGCCTGTTTACCCGCCGGTGACTGGCAGCGCGGATGGGCAATGGCGAGGCGCGGGCGGGCGTTGGGGCCGCCCCGTTCGCGTTGAGAACAATGCGCGTTTCATGGCCGCGCCGCCCGTTCCCCCCCTTCCCCTCCTCCTCGTTGGGGTTTAGCGTTTCTCTCCTCCCGCGCTCTCCTGTGGTGTTTTTTTTTTTTCCCTATTTTTTTAGATTTTCCCTTTTTCCTCGTTTTTTTTTAAGCGAGGAGGAGGAGGAGGAGGGGGGGTTGTGTGTGTAAGGGGGGGTGTGTGTGTGTGGTGTGGAGGCGATGCTGCCTCAGCTCGGCGGGCCCCCGCCGCTCCATGGCGCGGCCGCTGCCGCCGCGTCGCTCCCGCGTTGCCCTTGCTGAGGAGAGGAACGGAGCGGAGCCGGGCCGGGCGGCGGGCAGGGCGGCGAGCCGGCACCCCCCGCCCCAGCCCCGCGCCGCCGCCGCCATGCCCCGCGACCAGGCGGCCTGACCGCGCTGAGGTAGGAACCGGACCCCCCCTTCCTTCACCCTTCCTTACCCAACACATCCCGGCCCGCCTTTTGCCCCCTTTTTTGAGCCATTTTCCTCTGTTTTTAGCACTTAGGAGCCGCGATCCCGCAGCCCCGCGGCCAGACTCGCCCCGCTGAGCCACGCAGGCAGCGTTTAATTGACTTTAAAACCGGATTTTTCACCTAAACTTAAGAAAACCACGACCCGATGGGATTTTTCTTACTATTTTTCATCATTCCCCGTTCTATTTTATTTAATTAACCACTTTTTTTTTGCTCGGCGGATCCCCTCCTTCTAGGCTCGGAGCCGGGAAGGGCGGCGGGGCCGGGGCTCCCTGAGCCCTGGAAGAGGGGGGGGATAGGGAGAAAACCCCACTTTATTCCCCTCAGTGTTTATGATTCCTCGCTATCCCGGTGCAAAACCCGGTGGATCGGGCGTGAGATCGTTTCATCAGGCTACAACCACGATTAGGTCTTTATTTGTCTATATTTCTGTGTGTTTTTTACCCTTTCGGGGTTTGGTTGTTTCCGAGCGGGAAAAACGGGAGGAAAAAGAAGAAAAAACCCCGAAAAAATAACAAAACCCAAGCGGCCATTTGAAGCGTTGGGAATGCAGGAGAGGGGGGAAAAGGGCAAGAAACGAGGCTGCGGGGCGATACCGGAGCCCCAGTCCCGATCGGGCGGCTCCCGGTGGGGCAAAGCAGCCCCACGAGGGGAAATACAGGAAAAAAAGGAGAATTAGGGAGTTTATCAGTGGTGTTTTAGTGTTTTTTGGTGTTTTTCTTTATTTTA